ATTTGATTGGCGGATTCCATTAGATCCAGAAATATATTATAGACCAAACAGGTACAAGAGTTCATTGAACGTTTTAATTAAATTTATTTCTTCTGATTAATCAAATGTTTCGAAGTATTTGTAGCGCCAAGTGGACACTACCGCACACTAAATTGACAAATAAGTTTTAAATATATAAAATAACTATGAAAGTAATTATTAAATTAGTTACTGGTTACTTAAAAGATGTAACTAAGTTAAGTTATAATTACAGATGGAAAGAAAGTAACGAAGTTAAGTTACAGTTACTGAAAAAAAGTAACTCTAACTGTAACTTCGTTACAAGTAACGAGTTACTTCTCATCCCTGATTAGAATTAAGTAAATAACAAAGATAATACCACTTGGGTTTTACTGTTTAATTTGATAGAATTTAACTTGATTAGTTAAGATTGTAGCATCTGGGTTTTAATTTTTCATTTAATACATTAATTTTTTTCGAGTAAAGTAATTTTTGATTTTGACAGAGAATTAAAGCTGCCATTACTTAGATTGAAATAAGAAGATCTGGAGACACTAGTAGTGTCTCGGTGCTAAGCCAAGCGCAGTGACACTGCCGTGCCTCCTTTACGCGAATTCTATCAAGATTTCTGGACGGCGATTATGGGATCTCAATAACGGCTGTCCCGATTGAGTTCTAAGTGTGCTCAATCGATTGCATCCGCTCAGAATATATAATGAAAGTGTTTTTGTTTCGCTTTACCCCGTGGACCGAGATCGTTAAAGTTAATCACTATTCAGGTTAGGATTAAATATTTGTCTGTAAAGCAGAATTGTTTAATCCTTTATGCCATCGATGCAACAGATTTCGTCAGGATATCTGTCAACTTTAATTATAACAATTAATAATTAAAAGTAATTCGTATGTTATATTCCAATAGATTAATAGGTTTCGTTTTAATAAATTTTGATAATTCGTATTGTCTAATGTTTGAGGCTATAACTCGTATGTTATATTCCAATAGATTAATTGTTTCTGGTTCAATAAATTTTGATAATTTGCATCCAATATTTGACATTATTGTATTGCTTTTTATACGTAATTCCAATAGATTAACAAGTTTCGTTTTAATAAATTCTGATAATTCACATTATCTAATATTTGAGACTATTGTATCATTTTCTATTCGTAACTCGAATGTTACACTTTCAGTAAATTAACTGTTTCTGGATTAATAAATTCTGATAATTCGTATTATCCGATATTTGACACTATTATATCGCTTTCTATACGTAATTCGGATGTTACATTTTAATAGATAAAGGTTTCGGTTTAACAAATTTTTTTTCCTACTATCGTGCGCAAAGTTCGATTTTGCACACGCATTTGCGTGCGCAACTTTGAGCACGATAGTAGGAAAAATAGTATACGATACTCGTGCGCTGCGTAGGTGTTCCCACACTCGCTTTTTTGTCACCCTCGCTTCGCTCGGGCGACAAACTTCGCTCGTGTGGGAAACACCTACTTTGCGCACTTGTATCGTAATGTACTATTAATTCCTTTGATATTTAAGGCAATTGTATTATTTTCTATATGTGTGTAACTAGATCGTATCTTACATTTCCCAGAACCTTAACAGGTTCTGGATTACAAAATTTTGATAATTCGCATTATCTAATATTTGACACTATCTTATTGTTTTTTACTCGTAATTCTCATGTTAAATTCCATTAGATTGACAAGTTCCGTTTTAATAAATTTTGATAATTCGTAGTATCTCATATTTAAGGCTATTGTATTACTTTCTATATGTAACTCATATCTTACATTTTTAATAATTTAGCAGGTTTTAATTTAAAAAATTCTGATAATTTATATTATATAATATTTGAGATTATTGTATTACTTTCTATCCGAACTCGTATGTTACATTTCCAATAGGTTAATTATTTCTGGATTAATAAATTCTAATAATTCGCATTATCCAATATTCACTGAATAAATGTGTAGGCAATAATAAAATCTTTATCTCTATCAATTTACTTAGCAATTAAACATTGCAACACTGCAACAAGGTTAGTATATAGTTTCATAGCAACAGCCGCCATGCACCGCGGTGCGCCGGGGCCGCGGCTGCCCAGTAAGCTAGCGGCCACTTCTAGCGGCCACATGCGAGACGCCAGGGACGAATAGCGGTGTGGGGACCCCGATTATAAAAAAAAAGAATTTAGGACGTATTTCCATAAAAAATTCATTGAAAATAATAACTCATACTACACGGCGATAAACGAGAAAAAATTTAGGTAAAAATATTGAAAATAATAAAAATAAGTTATAAAATATATGTATAAATAACATAAAAAATAGTGGCCTTTACACGGTCTAGCTGGATCTTAATGCTTGTATGATTCTTATGTGAATTTATATACTACGTATGTAGTCCCACAGAAACGCGCGCCGAAAAATTTCCGGTCTTGAAACGCTAACTCTACTAAACTACCGCAGTAATATCACGAGTTAAAATTGACTAGCAATTTTTAACTATTTTTTGATGCTTATTCGCATCTTCTAAACGATCTTAATAATGATGAATAACATATTAAAAACTGTAAATAATTAATTCTTATTGCGAAAAATATTACCTCGGCCGGGAGTCGAACCCGGATCTCTTATAACCCGTGCGAGCGTCCTGAGCCTTTAGACTACCGAGGCCTTAGTAATATTCTTCGCAATAATTGGCATATGAAGGAACAACGTCTCTTTAGGCGACGTAAATAAATAATATAATATATTATAGGACCGTACATGTGATAACACAAACTATAGAAATCAAAGCCTTTACACGGTCTAG